TCACTTTTGCATCATGAAAGGGTTTGGAGGTGGGGCATCCCTAAGGCAGTGAACCGGTCGGCGAAAGTCTTTGGCTTCCCACGATCCATCAAAGCACAGCGTGATTTATATTGTTGAAGGGCTGCCTACTGTCTCGGAATGGTGAATCCAGATCAGAAAATGTGTCTGTGTGCAATGTCATTGCAGGTCAAATACAACACCCCACCTCTTCTGTATGGCTCCCTTCGAGAGTATCAGAAGATTGGCTTAGACTGGCTGGCAAAGCTGTACAAGAAGAATCTCAACGGCATTTTGGCAGACGAGGCTGGCCTCGGCAAAACGGTGCAGGTCATCGCGTTTTTTGCGCACCTGGCGTGCAACGAGGGTAAGCTGCCCTTGCCGTGCCCTCTGATCCGGCTCCGTTGCTTTAAATTGTTCAAACCCAGAGTGGGCCGTCAGCAACTTGTACAGCAAGTCTGACCTTGTAAGGGTGGTGGGTTTTTTTCATTCTTCTTTTGGTTCCTTCACAGGCGATTGGGGTCCTCACCTTGTCGTTGTTCGGAGCTGTAACATCTTGAAGTGGGAACTTGAACTGAAGCGTTGGTGCCCCGGGCTGAAAATCCTTCTCTATATCGGCAGCCAGCGAGAGCTCAGAGCAAAGAGACAGGTACCGCATTCTAGAGCCATTGTGCCATTTCCTTCTTGAGGTCCAGTGGAAGAGCCCCTCCTTTGCATGCAGCAGGTCCCAGGTTTAATCCCCAGCATTACCAGGTAAAAGGGTCAGGCGGTTGGTGATGAGAAACAGCCTCCGCCAGTCTAAGCAGACAGTACTGACTTTGACAGAGCGATCTTCCTGTCCAGTGTTCTCTCTAAGCCAAGTTAGTGTGAGCTAACTCACAGTTTTTTAGCTTCCGGCTCACACATTTTTGTCTCAGCTCAGGAAGGATGACTCCAGAGCAAACTTATTTTATGCAGCGGCCAAATTGCTTGCTCAAAATTTTACTGCCAGTAGCTCACAAAGTAGAATTTTTGTGCACAAGACTCCGCAGCTTAGAGGGAGCTTTGCTCCTATTCTGTATAAGGCAGCTTAGTCCACCTGTGTCTTAACACTATCCGCTTGTTAGTTGTGTCTCCCACCCACTCTCAGACTGCTGGTTTAGCCTCCCAACAACCTTGTGAGGTAGTTAGGCTGAGAGATTCTGACTTGCCCAAGGCTCACCTACTGAGCAGCACAGCTGGGTTTTTAACACAAGAGAAGCCCTGTTGGATCAGGCCAGTGGCCCACCCCGTCCGGCGCTCTGAGTCACACAGTGGCCAAAACCCAGGTGCCATTGGGAGGTCCACCAGCAGGGTAGCAGTAAATTTTTGTAACAATAAATTACAATTTCCTAGGACTGTCTTTGCATCCAGAGGTCTTGATAGAGCAGGAAGAGGGACTGGTTTCCTAGGCCCAGGAAGCTCAAGGTCTTGGTTTTGCCAAGGCAAAGAAAGGCAGTATGTTCAGGTTGCCAGATGGTGCCTAGGCAAGAGCCATTTCAGGGATCTGGAGGAGGGCAGGAAAGGACGAGGCAGATCGTGAGAGGGGAGGGCAGGAAGGGATGAGCCAGTGCTCAGCTCTCTGTGGCCCTTTCTGATATGCCCAAGGTAATGTCGATTGCCACTTTGGGGTCAGGAAGGAATGTTCCTCCAGGCCAGACTGGAGGTTTTTGGCTTTCCTCTGGGCATGGAGGCAGGAGTCACTGGGGGAGCGGGAAGAGAAGGTAGTTGCGAACGTCCTGCATTGTGCAGGGGGTTGGACTAGATGATCCTTGAAGTACCCTTGCAGCTCTGTGTTTGTAGGTTAGATGTTTCTGAGAAGCGCTGGAATTCTGCAGTATTCTCTGAACCCAGAGGCTCTAGTTAGCTATCATGTCTGGGGAGCGCTATAATCGATATGTATTTATACCCTGCCGTTCCACAAAGGCCTCGAAGGTATCTTGCAGCAGAGCAGTAAAACACGACGACTGAAATCAATAAAATGTCAGCATTAGAATTCATTGTGTTGTAGATTTGTTGATTTGCACTTCTGCATTAAATGCAGTGTTTTTAAAATATGGGTTAAGGTGCTGAAACAGGCAAGGAAGGGGGGGGGCAGTCATTGGAGAAGGTCAGGCCATGGGAATACCCTGCGAGGTTGCCTGGAAGACAGTTCCTCAGAAAGACCACCTCTCCCCAAAAGTCATTTTCCTTTAGCTTGTCTCCCTCTTCCCCATGGTGACGGCTGCTTCTTTTGCACGTGAGGTTCTAGGCTCCGCGAGTTCTCCACCTGTTCCAAGTGCTGGTTTCGTACTATAGGGATTTGTCCTTTTTGTTTTTTCCTTTTGTAGGAGTGGTTGGAACCCAACAGCTTTAACGTCTGCATCACCTCCTACAAGCAGCTTTTCAAAGGCCACCAGGCGTTCATGAAAATGCGGTGGAAATACCTGGTCGTCGATGAGATGCAACAGATCAAAAACATGACCGAGAAGCACTGGGAAGCTCTTCTCTGTCTCCGCAGGTCTGAAGCCTCTGGAAGCATTACCTTTGCTCCCTTTCCTTCCCTCCCACTGAGCTTTTGGATTTACTGGCTCTTCTCTGTGGGCCATGTTTTCCACGGATCTGGGCCACTGGCTTTTGCAGTGTTGCCTCTTAAGAGCATAATTGTTGTGAGCCTGGTTTGAGTCAGGGATCCTTCTGTATGTGTGGAATAAAGGTAAAGGTTTCCCTTGCTCGAAAGCCAGTCGAATCCGACTCTAGGGGTGCGGTGCTAGTTTCTGTTTCCAAGCCGAAGAGCCAGCGCTGTCTGAAGACGTTTCAGTGGTCATGTGTCTGGCATGACTAAATGCCGAGGTGCACGGAATGCTGTTACCTTCCCACCGAAGTGGTACCTATTTACCTACTTTCAATTTCTTGCTTTTGAACTGCTAGGTTAGGAGGAGCTGGGATCAGAGACGGGAGCTCACTCCGTCATGCGGCACTCGGGTCTCGGAACTGCTGAACTACTGACCTTCTGGCCTGCAGTTCAGCATCGTAACCACTGAGCCACCGCATCCGCCAGTGTGTGGATTATGTGTGGAATAGTGGATAGTAAATGAATGGAGATACTGGGGTTAGATTCACTGACACAGTTTCTATGGTCTGGATGGAGGAGGTGTATAGATGTGCACAGGTCACTGGCTTTCTTTACAAAGTAACATCTAATGGTTTCTTGAATGAGTTTCCCCTTTTAATTTATGGATTCTTTTTACCCTGATTTACTTGCTACTTCTCTGGGGGTTCTCTCCCGGCCCACCATTAAGACCCATAATGGACATCTGTAGAGAGTTGGAAGATTGAACTGATTTAAATCTGTCTCTCTTCACAGTCAGCATCGCTTGCTCCTGATAGACACACCTTTGCACAACACCTTGATGGAACTGTGGACCATGGTGCACTTCTTGATTCCAGGGATCTCCAAAGCGTACCTGGATTTCCCGGTGAAAGCAGCCAATGAAGAGAATCAGGATTACTGCCACAAACTCGTCATAAGGCTGCACAGAGTGAGTCAGGCATTCTTGTTTTGAATGACAAGAGAGAGATCAAGAGAGAGATCTTGGAGTCGTAGTAGATAACTCACTGAAAATGTCGAGACGGTGTGTGACTGCAATAAAGAAGGCCAATGCTATGTTGGGGATTATTAGGAAGGGAATTGAAAACAGATCAGCCAATATCATAATGCCCCTATATAAATCAACGGTGAGACCTCATTTGGAATACTGTGTACAATTCTGGTCACCACACCTTAAAAAGGATATTATAGCTTTGGAAAAAGTGCAGAAAAGGGCAACTCGAATGATAAAAGGGTTGGAACACTTTCCCTATGAGGAAAGGTTAAAGCGCTTAGGGCTCTTTAGCTTGGAGAAAAGACGACTGAGGGGTGACATGATCGAGGTTTATAAGATTATGCATGGGAAAGAGCAGGTAAAGAAAGAGGTACTTTTCTCCCTTTCTCACAATACAAGAACCCGTGGGCACTCCATTGTGAGCCTGGTTTGAGTCAGGGATCCCTCTGTATGTGTGAGGTAAAGGTAAAGGTTTTCCTTGCTCGAAATCTAGTCAAATCCGACTCTAGGGGTGCGGTGCTAGTTTCTGTTTCCAAGCCGAAGAGCCAGCGCTGTCTGAAGACGTTTCAGTGGTCATGTGTCTGGCATGACTAAATGCCGAGGTGCACGGAATGCTGTTACCTTCCCACCGAAGTGGTACCTATTTACCTACTTTCAATTTCTTGCTTTTGAACTGCTAGGTTAGGAGGAGCTGGGATCAGAGACGGGAGCTCACTCCGTCATGTGGCACTCGGGTCTCGGAACTGCTGAACTATTGACCTTCTGGCCTGCAGTTCAGCATCGTAACCACTGAGCCACCGCATCCGCCAGTGTGTGGATTATGTGTGGAATAGTGGATAGTAAATGAATGGAGATACTGGGGTTAGATTCACTGACACAGTTTCTATGGTCTGGATGGAGGAGGTGTATAGATGTGCACAGGTCACTGGCTTTCTTTACAAAGTAACATCTAATGGTTTCTTGAATGAGTTTCCCCTTTTAATTTATGGATTCTTTTTACCCTGATTTACTTGCTACTTCTCTGGGGGTTCTCTCCCGGCCCACCATTAAGACCCATAATGGACATCTGTAGAGAGTTGGAAGATTGAACTGATTTAAATCTGTCTCTCTTCACAGTCAGCATCGCTTGCTCCTGATAGACACACCTTTGCACAACACCTTGATGGAACTGTGGACCATGGTGCACTTCTTGATTCCAGGGATCTCCAAAGCGTACCTGGATTTCCCGGTGAAAGCAGCCAATGAAGAGAATCAGGATTACTGCCACAAACTCGTCATAAGGCTGCACAGAGTGAGTCAGGCATTCTTGTTTTGAATGACATACAGAGCCATCCCAACTTCATTCGAATAACATTTATTTAACCAAAGGTTATTTTACCAGTAACTGGGATTTTCTTTTCCCCCTTCACACAGAGCCATCCCAGCTTCACGCGAATTGCATTTATTTAACCGAAGGTTATTTTACCTGTAACTGGGATTTTCTTTTCCCCCTTCACCAGATGATCCAGCCATTTATTTTACGAAGGTCAAAGAGAGACGTGGAGAAGCAGTTGACAAAGAAATACGAGCACGTGCTGAAGTGTCGGCTTTCGAACCGGCAGAAAGCCATGTACGAAGATGTCATATTGCAGCCGGGGTATGCGTTTGACTCTCTGGTTATGGACTTTTAGCCCCTCTTGAGTAGTTAACCCAAAGGAATAATCCTTGGCTCCATTTATGTGCTGTTTTGTGAATGTGGTGCACCTCTGGGATGTGGCTTCAGTCGACGAGACCATCCATGGGGGAAAATTGCCCATTAACCCGTGCACAAGCACTTTCACATTTACGCCACCCAGTGAATTGACTGCAGAAACCAAGCCATGGAATATAATTTGTTACATTCGAGCTCCCACCATCTCTGGGATGTGGCTTCAGTTGACGAGACCATCCATGGGGGAAATTGCACATTAACCCGTGTACAAGCACTTTCACATTTACGCCACCCGGTGAATTGACTGCCGAAACCAAGCCATGGATATAATTTGTTACATTCGAGCTCCCACCAGATAAATTTTCTGTGGGTCACGATTTTACATATTTAAACCAGAGGTTGCAGGTTTTCATTCTCTCTGTCCCTTTCCCTCTCTCAGCGTTCCAAAGCAGAAGTGACAGAAGTATTAGATATTAGCAGTGATAACACGTGGCCCATCATTCAGATGCTCTCTCTGGTGATGAATGACCTGTTTATGAGGCTCTGTAAAAATTCTCTGAAACTGATTGATTCCCCTGCCCTTTTTCTCCTGGCAGAACTCAAGACGCCCTCAAAAGCGGGCATTTTGTCAGCGTCCTTCATGTTTTGATGCAACTGCAAAAGATCTGCAATCATCCTGACTTGATAAACCCCCGGCTTTCCAGCTCTTCCTATGTCTCAGACACGTTGCAGTTTAGGACTGCCTCGCTGGTCTTAAAAGCACTTGAACACGGCCTTTGGAAGGTTAGTCAGCTGAATGTGGAGCTCGAAGAAGTTGCCTCTTCAATATCATAGTGTCTAAGTTCTCACGTGTGGATCTAATAGTACATGTCTGTCTGCAGCATCCTATATGGTTAAAGTCTCTGGTTAGCCACCACTTTGATTTGGGGTAGCTACTTTGAGGTGGAGGTGGGTAATTGTAGGCTGGGGCTCTACATCTGTCCCTGGAGTGGACCACCTGCAAATCCCATGGTTGTGGCGGCTGCTACTGTTCTCCCTAGCTGGAGGCTGTACTGTACTGGTCATGGGGCCTGGACTCGGCCCAGTGGTCAGCAGAGGAATGTAGATTGAGCCATCCACTCTTAGGAAGGGTCTTGTATGACTTGGAAGTTTGCATCCAACAATCCTAAACTCCAGAGAAGCTCAGGCTTCCTGAACTTGGCCAGATCTTTCCACCTCAGTTTGTCTGCCAAGAGTGACTCTTGCATGTTGCAGAGGATTCTGGGGTATGTGCTAGAGCAGTGGTGGCGAACCTATGGCACGGGTGCCAGAGATGGCACTCAGCGCCCTCTCTGTGGGCACGCGTGCCATCGCCCCAGCCAGGCCCAGACCATCATTAAAGTGTCGAATTCTCTGCCAAATAATTTTAAGTAAATGAAAGCATTTGGGATTGCTTTCCTTACTATGTTTGGATCATCTTAAGTTAATGTATGGGTTGTTTTTTCTAAAGTAAAACCTCGGTATTCAGGTTAAATTGCCGTGTTGGCACTTTGCGATAGATAAGTGGGTTTTGGGTCGCAGTTTGGGCACTCGGTCTCTAAAAGGTTCGCCATCACTGTGCTAGAGTGTTCTCTCGGTCCGGAAGTCGTGTGGGTGAATCCATCCAGGCTTTGTTGATAGCGTGTGCAAATTGAGAGCAGGCCCTGGGACTTGCCCCGGTAATAACCCGGTGTTGTAGAGAAGTCAGGAAGGACAGGCAAGCCGTGGGTCTTGTTGCCGAACTGCTACTGCAAAGATGGGGGGAGCACAGTATGAAAACCACTAAATGGGCTGGTCACGGCAGGGCGTGGGAAGGCTGTTCTTATTTTGTCATGGTTGCAGCTTTTATCAGTATCCTCATAACAAGAATCTTTAGTCCATATATATTTATTAGTAACGATTTTTTTAAGTGCTTTTGGATTTAGACATAATAATAATAATAATAATAATACCATTGACATACCAGACAGTGGGCTGGATTCAACCAGTTTTTCCTCTGGTGAAAAAGGAAGGAGGGGAGTTTCCTCCTTTTTAATTTTTAATATATTTTTTGCGTGTGTGTGTGTACCCGTGCCTGGAAGTCATGGCGACCTCTGGTGACTCCTACTGGGGCACGGAGGATGTTCAGAGCCTGCCTCTGCCTCCCAACCCTGGTATTCTCTGGAGGTCTCCCATCCAAGTGCTTGCCAGGGTCAGCCCTGCTTAACTTCTGAGATCTGATGAGACTGCGCTTGCCTGGGTTATCCAGGTCAGGGTGGTGGTGCGGTGTCCCCTTTTGACCACCAGAAACGTCTGTCCTGGGAGGGTTATACGGCTTGTGTGGTTCTGGTTTTAACCTTCAAGACCCTTAGCGGTCAGGGACCTGCATATCTTCAGGACTGCCTCTCCCAGTATGCCCCTGGAAGAGCGTGCTCAGGAAAGAAGAGCTTCCTGGTGGTCCCTGACCCGAGAGAAGTCCGGCTGTCCTCGACCAGGGCCAGGGCCTTTTCAGCCCTGGCCCCCGCCTGGTGGAACACACTGCTGGAAGACAGCAGGGCACGCAAGGCAGAGATGTTCTGCCGGGCCTTCGGTTGAGGACAGCGACGGGGGTGTCCTTTGGCACTCTCACACAGGTCCCCATCCCTCATAACCCCTTCCTGTAGGGAGTTTGGGAAGACGGAATCCTTTCTGCCATCTTGTATATGCTGTTTTATGTATTGGTATTTATTGGGCTGTTTTAATTTAGTTTTAATCTGAGATTTGTTTATTATTTTGTTGTAAGCCGCCCTGAGCCCTACTTGTAGGGAAGGGTGGCCTAGCAAATCTAATTTAATAAGTAAGTAAATAAAAAGCTGTGTGGTACAGCAGAGAGCGCAGGGAGGGGAGTTGTTCGAGATGGAGTGCAAAAGCTGCCTGGATGCAGCCCAGGTATCCAGTAGTGAGGATCCAGGTGCAGTGTTTTTGGCTTGGCAGGTACAGGCTTGAAAGTGACTCCCAAGCGATCCTGTGAATCCCCTTTGTTTAGCTCTGTAGAGTGGTCACATGGACACATGAGACTGCCTTATACTGAATCAGGCAGAGGTCTTTCACACCCCGTACTGCCTTGTCCTTTTAACTGGAGATACCGGGGGTTGAACCTGGGACTTCCTGCGTGCCAAGCAGATGCTCTACCACGGAACCACAGCCCACTCTTGTTGTCTCCCACTGTTGTGGTCTGGACTGCTACAGCCCAGTTTTGAGCTTTTTCAGTGGCTGCACTGTTGTTGCACAGCCGTCTTTCCGTATATGTTTAATGGGTCTCTGCCCTCTTCCCCCACCTCAGGATACTGGCAGAACTTTTTAGCAATGCCTTCAAGGGTATTTAGTGGACCTCGTGTGCTTTGAGTTTGACATAGCTAGCAAGTTGGTTATATATGGTCGACTTTGTGTAGTTTGTTATGATCTGTGCTGTGTGTGGTGGAGGGGTTAAGAGCAGTGTTCCCTCTAAGCTGAGTTAGTGTGAGCTAGCTCACAGTTTTTTAGCCTCTAGCTCACAAATTTTTGTCTTAGCTCAGGAAGAACAGCTCCAAAGCAAACTGATTTATGCAGTTGCCAAATCGCTCACTCACAACTTTAATGCCAGCAGCTCACAAAGTAGGATTTTTGCTCACAAGACTCCACACTTTAGAGGGAACATTGGTTAAGAGCAGCGGATTCTAATCTGGAGAACCGGGTTTGATTCCCCACTTCTCCCCATGTAGCCAGCTGGGTGACCTTGGGTCAGTCACAGAGCAGTTCTCTCGGAGCTCTCTCAGCCCCACCTACCTCACAGGGGGTCTGTTGTGGGGAGAGGAAGGGAAGGAGATTGTAAGCCGCTCTGAGATTCTGAGTGAAGGACGGGATTATAAATGCAGCTCCTCCTCCTTCCTGCCCCCGCAGACTTGTTGTCAGTGAATGCCAGCGCGCCTACCGTCAGCTGTGGGCAGATTTTGCCCCTACCAAAATGTGTGTCATTCATTCATTCATTTAGATGGTTTTCAGGAGGGTAGCCCTTGTTGGCTTGCAGTAGCACCTTCGAGACCAATGTCACTTTTGGGGTTTGAGCTTTTGAGCGTCAGAGCTCCCTTCGTCAGACATGAAGGGAGGTCAGACTCTTAAAAGCTTATACTCCCCAAATCTCCTCCTTCTCGAAGGTGTTACTGCGCTTGTATCCAGCTGTCATTCCTTTAGATGAGGGGGAAATAAAGGGGTGGGCCACAGAGGTGGGCTTTATGCAGGTTCTGTCACCCCAACTACTGAGAATCAAATCCGTTCCTACCTGGCACGGCACTGTTCCTTGTTCTGGGTTGCATCTCTCAGTCTCGTGCCGGAGTTTTTGCCGGCTGGTACAGAATGTGGGTAGCTTTGGCTTTTTTTACACGCCCTCAGAGGCACCCTTGCCTTTTAAATTTCTCTGCAAACAACACTTCAGGACACAGACCTGAGCCTCTTTGATCTGATCGGGATCGAGAACAATATGACCCGGTACGAGTCACAGGTGCTGCCAAAGCAGAAGGTCACCCGGAAGCTCATCGAAGAAATCTACACCTCTCCTCCACCTCCCCCAAGACCCAATCCGGTAAAGCTGAAGCCTAGCAGGTACGTAGCGCTGTGGGGGACAGGACGGGACGGACAACAACAACACAAGACAACGCAAGATCTTTTTGTTCCATTTCACTAGCAGTTGAGAAACGAAATGCAGTGCTCACTTGGGCAGCGCATATAACTAAAATTGGAATGATACAGAGAAGAGGAAGGGAAACACAGTTTTTGCTGCTGCTTTTAATCATATGCACACCCCTGCAGTCTAAAACAGAATAGTCCAGACACAAGTTGATCAGTGCAGTGGGAATGAGACCTGAAGGAAAGCTGTCCCCTTGTTTTGATTCATGCCTCACGTCCCCCTCCCCACTCTAGGAAAATTTAGTTGGTAAACTCCTTAGGACAATGACTTATACTTTTGAGAGGTTACCTAACACCCCGTGTGCATTGATGGTGGTGTGTACATAAGCTGCAGCAAAAAAGAAAAGAAATAATTAGTTGGCCAAACTCTGGTTTGGTTCAGACATTGTAGGGCCCGCTCACTGAACTGATTTGGTCATCAGTTCATTGCTCATGTGCTTCTCTCATGCAAGTTCATGGGCACCTTTTCCCTGACTTTTGTGGTATGAGATAACCACTATCCATTTCAGGCAAATTATACCTATCAATAATCAGAAATTGACTCCATGCCGGGGTTTTTAAGCCTGGAAGAGACTTGATAAACAATGGTTTGGCGGTTGGGCATTGTGCCAGGGTTGCGGGGTATGTTTATGTCACCATACCTGTATTTACTGTTCAGTTCTGGGAAATATTTCCACCATTCACCTCTGAACTTGAAAATGTAACACGAGATTTATAACCAGTTTTGATTTTTTTTTTTTGGACTTGCATTCTCTTATTGTCTCTGAAATTTTTTGGGGGGGATAATTAATATAATGCCTCTAACTTTATCAGATTATTCCAACCGGTTCAGTATGGACAGAAGCCCGAAGGCAGGATTGCAGCGTTTCCAAGCACTCAAGTGCAACGTTCGGCAACCACGGCAACGGTGGCTCAGCAGGGACAAGTGCGAGGAAGGTCACCCGTCGCTACGGTGTCTGCGAATCAAGGTAATAAAGGTATTGCAATTCTTGTTCTCTCCTGTCTGTGTGTGCCGTACACTAGCCTCTTAAAATTTAAAAATCTCCTCCCAATTTATGGCCACTTCTTTCAACCAGCTTGGCACGTTGAGACTGAGGGTTGCATTGGATGAATGGAAAAGTTCAGTATATTGCAGCTTGACAGTTTTGCGTCCCTCCACGCCCAGCTGGTACTCACGTGCACAAGGCAATCGTACAGCAGACCAAAACGGGGTGGCTGTTTGCTGTTGGTAAAGGTTGATTGAGTTTAACAGCCGGGCACACCGTAAAGAGTTCAGAAGCCCAGCTCCACTGCCCTCCACAGGGGTCCAGCCGACCCACATTCTGAATGTACGGATTTGGCCATCTGAATGGGCCCTTAGTGGTCTAGATTTGCATACAGCCTCCCTGAGGAGAGCTTGTCCTGACCCCACCATGTTGATTCTGTTTTGGTGTCTCGGCTGGGCCAGGGGACAGAGGGCTGTTTTTCCTCCCATTCCCCGGGTCATCGTAGGCCTGCGTGAGCGAGTGTCTATCTGGACTGACAGGACAGTGCCATTCATGATTTATGGATCCCCGTTTGGGAACTCTGCTTCCAGGACCTTCCCATTTAACTCCAAGGTCTTGGTGAACTGCCGTATGGGAATGATTCTCTTGAGACTATATGAGTTGATGACAGGGCTAGGGAATCAGACGTCTGAATGCCTCTCCACAGCAAAACCGCCATGTGTGGAAAGCCAAGTGCTCCAGCCTAACCTTTTTGCCGATGAGGTGTGTGAGAAGATAGCTTGATGTCGAACCAGTGGAGCAATTAAGCAGTTTCTCACCTGCGTGCCCCCTGGGAGGACTGTACCACGGGCCCTTCCCTAAGTGTTTGTTCTGAAAGTGAGCAGCCTATGGGAAGCTGCTGTGCACACCCTGTGCATCATCAGTCCATTCTGACCTACAGCAGCTCTCAGGCAGGAAAGAAGATCTTTTCTCAGTACCTGTTACTTGGATCCTTTCACTGAGTCTGGGATCTTCTTGGTAACAACCTTGTATTTTACTGTTGTGCCGTGGCCTGTCACTCATTTTGGTTTGATTCGAGTCTAGTAGCCGCTTAGCGGCCAAGAAGAGTAATTAACACGTGGAATTTACGGCCGCAGGAAGTGGTGGCAGCTACAAGCATAGACAAGAGATTGGAGAAACATCTGGAGCAGAGGTCCCTCCGTGGCTATTAGCCACAAGGTGTAGACGGAGCACTCTGTCTGGGGCAGTGGTACTCTGTCTTCTTGGTGCTGGGGGGGCACGAGAGGGAGGGGCTTTTGGAGTTCTGGCCCCACTGGTGCACCTCCTGACGGCAGCTGGGTTTTGGCCACCGTGCGACACAGAGCGTTGGACTGGATGGGCCATTGGCGTCATCCAACATGGCTTCTCTTCTGTTCGTAAGAGTTTCAGGGTATAAGCGTTCAAGAACCAAAACTCCCTTTGTCAGACACGAGTGGCTGACGAAGGGAGAGCTTTGATTCATGAAAGCTAATACCCTGTTGGTCTTTACGGTGCTCCCGGACTTGAATCTAACTATCCTACCGCAGACCAGCACAAGCTACCCTCTGAAACGACTGTTTTGGTTTGTCTCGGTAGTGCCAGGTGTGGGAGGGTGGGGCGGAGAGTACAATGTCTGAGGGTGTCTCTCGGCATCCCTGCTGAGCTGTCTGATGCCAGCTGTTGGGAGCTCCCACCTTCTAGAACACTAACGGCTTTGGCACCCAAACTAAGAGCGAGGGCATGTGTGTATCCACCGCCACAGCGGGACTCCCCATTCTGTGTGTGACGCGCCGAACAGGCTAGTTGGTGCCCCACGGAGTAACCCACGGCACGGTCTGTATTTAGCTCCTGATTTGGGGGATGTGTGTGAATATAAAGTTTTGCAGGGGATTCATGCTTCTAACTTGCCAAAAAAAATTAAACGATTACCAGCAATCCAGTGATATGTAAGCTCCAACCCGGGACCAGGTCTAACAGCTTCCACCACCCAACCTTATCGATTACAGCCGCCGCCGCACCCCAGTTTCAGACCTCTCAGGCTTCCGCCAGTGCTCCAAGACCGCAGGCAGCAGCAGCGACCTTCGCCACGGCAGCTAGCCCGGCCCATCCAGCCAAACCGCGGGCCCAGACCGCCGTGCAGGCCTTACAGCTAGGCCAGGCCCCCTCCACACACACCATCCAACAGAGTGTGCTGCCTCAGAGGCTGGTATTGACCTCTCAGGCCCAGGCACGGTTGCCCAGTAAGTGCCACCGCCGCCACCACCCCCCAAACCTCCCTTCCAGGTTTCTCCCGCCTCTCTGGTTTTTTTTTTTTAAACTTCCCTGAGGTTAAGTTACGAGGCACCCTAAAAATGTGTACAGAACAATTTGTCGTTGTCTCTCCCCCTCCTCTTCCTTCTCTCCCCCCCCATAGCTAGCAGTCCAGTGGTGCCTTCTGACACACTCCACAGCGGGACTCCCCATTCTGTGTGTGACGCGCCGAACAGGCTAGTTGGTGCCCCACGGAGTAACCCACGGCACGGTCTGTATTTAGCTCCTGATTTGGGGGATGTGTGTGAATATAAAGTTTTGCAGGGGATTCATGCTTCTAACTTGCCAAAAAAAATTAAACGATTACCAGCAATCCAGTGATATGTAAGCTCCAACCCGGGACCAGGTCTAACAGCTTCCACCACCCAACCTTATCGATTACAGCCGCCGCCGCACCCCAGTTTCAGACCTCTCAGGCTTCCGCCAGTGCTCCAAGACCGCAGGCAGCAGCAGCGACCTTCGCCACGGCAGCTAGCCCGGCCCATCCAGCCAAACCGCGGGCCCAGACCGCCGTGCAGGCCTTACAGCTAGGCCAGGCCCCCTCCACACACACCATCCAACAGAGTGTGCTGCCTCAGAGGCTGGTATTGACCTCTCAGGCCCAGGCACGGTTGCCCAGTAAGTGCCACCGCCGCCACCACCCCCCAAACCTCCCTTCCAGGTTTCTCCCGCCTCTCTGGTTTTTTTTTTTTAAACTTCCCTGAGGTTAAGTTACGAGGCACCCTAAAAATGTGTACAGAACAATTTGTCGTTGTCTCTCCCCCTCCTCTTCCCGTTCTCCACCCGCCCCCCGCCCCACCTCCAACCGACTCTTCCGAGTAGCTTGCTCGCCATTCACGTTGCTTTATTGCACCGAGTCTTAAAATTCGGATCAGAGAACAATGGAAATTTGCTGTGGACATACATTAGCGGTGTCAACTTAATCTCCTTGTTTCTGCATGTCTTCCTCTGCTGGCCGAACGTCCTCTGGACCCGGAAACTTTATACTTTTAAAGATCTTGTCCTAATTTTATACACTTCTCCCCTCCTCCTTTTTCTTTCTTGCTTCCCCTCCCCCCAAAAAACCACTAACCTCCATCCTGCTAAGATGTCCTCTAGACTTTCTCAGAGACGAGTTGTGACGGTCAGGCAGAGAGGGGTGAGCGGTCCCCACAGGTGGCTTTGCTTCTGGCTCATACGCGCCCTGCCTATCAGCATGTCTAGAGAATCTCCAGCACTGATGTACTAATGTTTTAATTCCTTGAGGGGGGTGATGAAGCTGCCTTCGCAAAAGCGAAACATCTCCTAAGCTTGGGAGACGTTTTCTCTGGAAGCTTAGATCAGTGTATCAAAGCACAGAGCAGTCATTCAAATTGAAAACATACGGCTGATGTTTTTCAAGTTGCCTCTTTACATGTACAGGTCTGCAAGAGGTAAAGCGAAATCCGATTGTCGCATTTGGGAAAGCCATCGCAAAGTGCTTTCAGTGGAAGTTCTGGGTTTTTTATTTTCTCTTTTTCTGTCCTGTCCTAGCAAATCTATCATGATCTGGAGTTGCTATTTTTCCCCCTTAAAAAAATGCTGCTTACAAGCAGGAAATCACACGTGACCTAATGTCCTGGCCCCACTGGTGGACCTCCTGATGGCACCTGGTATTTTTGGCCACTGTGTGACAGAGTGTTGGACTGGATGGGCCATTGGCTTGATCCAACATTGGCTTCTCTTATGTTCTTGCTTCAGTTGCAAGTAACTAAACTCAGCATTCCCATTGGCACCCTTCAAGCTTTTGAGCCCCTGTAAAACTCTCCAGCGGGTCCTGTGTTGCTTTTGAAAAGGCAGTCAAGGTTGACCTTAACGACTTTCTGCTCTCTTGGTTTCCACAAAGTGTCACATGAGTGTTGCCAGGTAGCTCTTGCCGCGCATAAAAATGGACAACTAACTTCTTTCCCCTCCCCTTCTTATCTGAAACGTTTTTCGTCTTGACGAACCAAAACCCATTTTTGTTGGTTGTTGCTGTTGGATAAAGCTGGTACCTGTGTAATTTTTATATGACACTTTTTTCCTCTGTACTACATGTTCCTTTCTGCATGGGGTGGGGTGGGGACGATTTCCAGCATCGGTTGTACTAACCCAAAATGAGAAGGTGGGGGGAGGATGCCAGCTGCATCTGGAAGACGGACCCTGAACGCGTGCTTCTGTCCTTCCCCTGCAGGCGGCGAAGTGGTGAAAATAGCCCAGCTGGCTTCCATTGCAGGGGCCCAGGGCAGGATTGCACAGCCTGAGACTCCCGTGACGTTGCAGTTCCAAGGGAACAAATTCACTTTATCTCACAGTCAGCTGCGTCAGCTCACAGCGGGACAGCCTCTGCAGCTGCAAGGTAACGCACATCTCCTTCCTCTTCCCCGGACGTTATCGTTCGCCGTCTTTCCCTCCCTCTGATTTTTATCGTGCTCTTCCTTGCAAGAGCCGTGTGAGGTAGGGTGAGCTGCAAGAGCTCACCCGGGGAACTTCAGGGTTGAGTGGGGATTTGAACCCGGGTTGTCGGCAGGGGCAAGAGTTCTGACTGCGGACTGACTTCCTGGCTTGCAGCCCCGCTAAGTTTAGAACTGAGGTGACGGCAGAAACCTCGAGCTGAAGCTGGTCTTGCTTCCTGTGTTGTTCATCCGCATGAGCTTCCCAGCATATCGCAATATGACAATATGACAAAAATATGTATTCTACCATTGTCAGTTTGGTGCAGTGGTTAAGTGCACGGACTCTAATCTGGGAGAACTGGGTTTGATTCCCCACTCCTCCACTTGCACCTGCTGGATGACCTTGGGCAAGCTGTAGTTCTGATAAGAGCTGTTCTTGAAAAAGAGCTGTTTCTGTCAGAGCTCTCTCAGCCCCACCCGCCTCACAGGGTGCCTGTTGTGGGGAAGGGAAGGGAGAGGAGATTGTAAGCCGCTCTGAGACTCCCTTGGGTAGTGAAGGGCGGGGGAGAAATCCAACCTCCTCCTCCTACCTGGGATTTCCTGTTGTCATGCTTAAGATTTCCCACCTCTTTCATTATTATTGTTGTTTGCACTGTCTTATGGCTCTTAAATTCTAGTCCTCCTGTGTTATTCATTGGAGGCTCTGCTGTCTGATTGAACCAGGGCCGTAGCTAACCCCTTCCTTGGGGGGGGGGGGGGCTGGGAAAAGTGGGAGGGCCAGGGTGTGTGCGTGCGTGCGCCCCACACACATCACCCGGGCACGTGCCCCGCGTTGGCAATAAAGCTAGGAGCCTGCTAAGCACATTTTACTCTCCTTGTAATCACAAAGCAGAATTTTACTCTCCATGTAATTCACAAAGCACAATCTTCTCTTGCACTCACCTAGCACAGCCAAAACCACGTGCGTCTCCGCCCCCTCCCCACCTCAAGGAGGGATCTCCAGCCCACAAAGCCGCCAGTCTCAGGGAAACAGCATTCACACGAAACGTGTGACCAGAGGAGTCGAGGCACAGGCTCGCCCAACTTTGCAAACGGGTCGCCCAATTTTGCAAACGCGTCAAATCCCATCCCGCAGTCATTGGAACAAAAAGAGACCACAGGAGTGTTTCTAATGGAATGAGAGGCTTTGGTTTGACCGCCGTGCTGAAAGGACGCCGCTCCAAACCACTCGGGCGGCCATCTGCAAGGGGCCGTGGTGCGCTGCGAAACCCAGACTGAAAGCGCGTTCCTCTGCACGTGAGTGGAAGCGCCCCCCGCCCCGAGGCTTCTCCTTACCGCTTGGGATAGAATGCAAAACAGGACGCCCAGCCCTTCCTCACAGATACTCCTTCCCTGCCCGGGGCGCGGGGAGGGGGGGGAGAGTCGCCCCCGCCTCACCTCACGCTGTTCCGTGAGAG